ACTTACAACAAAGAGGTGACTCGGCACTTAGGTAGCGTAAATACAGGTTCGTCTTGGTGGTTTTGATTTTCATGTCAGCCATTCCGTCAATAATACCATGCGGCCTCTACTGGTAGTGCATAAAAGCAACAATTTTGTTTTATGGAGCCAATAAAGCCGCAAACCTTGGGATTCATCGACATTTAATTACAGATGTTGGTTTTCCAAAATTTTCTGACTACCTGGAGGAGCCGATTCGTGCCAGCTTAAGCGCCTGCCACGAATCAAGAGAGCCAAGGCTAAGCACATGTTCTTTCTGCTGATCGTTTATATTAGCTGGGAGGGTATTAAGCAGTTGATCGGTTACTAGGTCAAATACGAACGGCAAAATATAAGCTTTCGTCTGATCCCACAAGTAAATACAATTTCCAGACCAATAAAGTTTTGTAATTTAACTCAGATTATGATATTTATACACATCTCGAACGTACCATTTGTTTACATGACAACAGGCAGTCGCTGTCGCCGTTTTTCTATTTCGACGAATTTTTCACCCTGACCGTCAGAGTACAGAGCAGATAGATATTTGTCAACACTGACTGACGACCACGGCAATGACTGATTTCTATTAAATAGTCAGAACTTAGTTGTTGTCAGTTTTAAATCAGTCTTTCAGCATTAAACTAAAAGCACCGATTTCAGTATTCAGCCACCAGCTGACCATGTAATGCTCGCGCGATCAGACTGCATTAAAGTTCTTGACCAACATAGCAATGTGTCCATATGTACTGCATGCATCGGTTATTCCGTTCAAATTTTTGTTGCTCATACTTTTGCAAGATCTGTAAAACTTTATATTTCACACTGGAAAATTAAAATCTCAGCAGTAAAGGAACCTCAGTCATCAAAAGCTAGTGATTGCTCTGAATAATGAAGGCAATAATGAAAATTAGAGAACTGAGAATGACAAAGTAGCAAGCCTTTCGTCGCGACCTATCTGCAGCCAAGGCGTTGTTATGCTGCATGGATGCGAATCGACAATGCGCCACAGCAGCGCATACATGCTTCATTGATTTGGTGTCTAAATTATTGCGGTAAATGAGATCACTTTCAAGTCATGAGCTGGATCTGTATGAGAGCATCCAGTTCTGATGTAGCCTGAACGTTTTTGAACCAATTACTGCTACAAACGGAGTAGAGAATGAGTACATGTACATCTGCGTAACAGGTACAACAGCGATTGATAATTTACTAATCTGAATAGTTAAAACAGATCTACATCATAATCTTCAAACTATAATTTTATCATCCGTAAAAACAGTGGTGCAGCATTCTGCATAAAACTATGATCTATAAAGCAAACGATAACCAGGCGAGAATCAAAGTGATTCCTCCAAATGGCGTTATCTTACGAGCCAACTGTGAGTCGGCCAAAGCAAAACCGTAACAGCCGCCGCAGAAGCCAGCCATTCCAAGAGAAAGTAGCGCGGCCGTCTATAAAAGATTGACATCAATATGACTTCTTGAATATCAGCCACTGCTCAAATAATTAAAGGTAACAAAAATAAAAAGGAATAACAATAACTACGGTTAATTAACCCAACGGGTTCAAAGTTCATATTGATTATCACATGCACTTCTTTGAATAAACTTTACATATTATACTGCAAAACCATGGTATAAATAAATAATCATTCAAAGAGTGCTGTGCTACTCTTTGCATTAGATGAATGAACACTGGCGGACTTTCTGTTTATTAGACAGCTATCACAGGAAGAGCCGTTTATTGCCCTAAAAGGAATGTAAAGAACTACACCATTTTATTCACAAGAAATACGAAAATAAAGGTAATCCTAAAATAAATTCATTGTAGCACGCTGCATACAAAAGGTAAAGGAAACCTCCATCGAAACCTGTTTTAGAACACTCAGCAGTCCAAATTCCCATCTACATCGAAGACAAATAATGACCTCAGTACGGAATCATATACCAAGTTAAGTAAAACCTGGGGCAGTTTTATCAACGGCGGTATCTGTGAAAGAAAGAAAAGGACTGGAAGTTTGATGGTTGAATTGTCAGTCTTCCTAATATTGCCATAATGAAGTCTTTTCTATCGCCCTTCTTTTGATGAAGTTAGTGGTACAGCACCTATCTCCATTTCATGCGATCAACCAGGAATGCCTTATTTTTTAAAGACAGAATCGACTCAGTGATGTGGCAAGCATTGCGTGTAGCCTCCTGTTTCTTTTTCACAGCCTGGTATTTATTTATTAATCTCGGATGGCAGAAAGGCAAGTAATCTAACTGAAAGACGAACCTGGAACTTGTCGGTTCTGACTCTGACGCTCAATCAACTGAGCATCCCGGACCTTGAGGACTGCTGCTAAGACCGGCCAAAAATTCAAAGTGATTGGCCAACTTGGCTCTGGTTTTGAAATGCAAAAACGCGAGCATATTTCTACAACCTCTAAAGTATTCCATTCTATTCTGCAGTAGCAGCATCTCTAGAAAGTGCTACATTGGCTTCCTTTAAGTCGTAATCCTGAGAGATATTCCGGTTCCAGATAAAAGACCTGGAATTAAAAAAAAGACATTTTTTCTACCTCTTTATCCCAATTTCGATGCTGATCATTTCTTGGTTTCAGACAGGCCATGAAGACGATTAGTGCAACGGAAAGAAT